GTTTGTTTCGTGGGAATCTGAGATTCTCGTGGGATGAGTATCCAAATTTTCGTGTTTGTCCGTTGTCATTTTTGTTCTATAATATTTTTTCATCAATAATATTTATTTCTCATTTATTTTACTTTATTTTAAAAATAATGTATGCACTAATTCATTAATAAATATCTAAATACAATCTTATTTATATGCTACATTTAGATATAAAATAAACATTAGTCAATGGTAATATCTTAATTTATTTTTAATTCAAATCTAAAATGCAATTTCTCATTCATTTTACTCTCCCAATAGTCATCAAACATAAATTAAAATTGACATAAAAATATAATATTAAATTAATAAAAGTAAAATTGTTATATGAATTCAATGATTGGCAAGAACATTTTTGAAACATTACATGAATTCACAATATTCATACAAATAAATCGAATAAATCCGACAAAACAAACGTGGTTATCAAAATATTTTCATATATCTTTATAAATTTTCCTTGTTTGTTCATCTGAAATTCCAAACAAATTCCATGACATGAGATTCCAGAGATCAGAAGATGCCAAATTTCCGGAAACTACCTCCCAAGAAACAACCGCCAGATAACAAAATCAGGGAATGGGAACAGCAACAGGTAAGAGATTTGGTTACAAGATTTTATTTGATACCCTTACGAATTATATTAGTTTGATATTTTGAAATTTATTTAAAAAATAATGTTTTTGAAATTAGTCCCCACTTGGTCGTCAAGAAACGACCATGTCATTTTTAGTAGTTGATCGTCTCTTGAAGAGACGGCCATAAAGACGTGACGCTACTTATTTTTTAAAAAAATCAAGACGAGACGATCATGTGTCATAATCTATTTTTCGATCGTTTCTTCTAGTAACGAAGGGACGACTACGATCTGTAAGGAAAAAATAAATATTTTTATGTAATATATATATATAAAAGTAAATTTCGTTTTAGAATATTGGATTTATTTGTTTTATTACTTTTAATTAATTTATATTAAGGATATTGGTAATAGATAATTGTCATTTTCTAAATATAGCACCAACTTTTGAATTTTACAAATATGACCAGAAAATTTAAATGTGATTTTCGATTTTTAGTTGTTCCAGTTTTATACTTCAAGATTTTCTTGTATATCAATGATATAACAGATCAGATATATCAACAGTATATTAGGTATATATAACTGCTATATCAGCATTCATAGTAGCATATCATTGTTATATCAACACATAATCAGGTATATCAGTTTTATTGATTCATTCAATAATATAACAAATCATGTATATCAATATACATTAGCATTCATATCAAAGTGTAGAAGACATGCATTTGGATTATAAAATGTAAGCATTTCATATAAAATCTATAACTAAAAAAACAGAATTCAATAAGAGAAATTGAACGCGGTAAAGAAAAGTATTAAAATGGTATATCATTGGTATGTCAATATTCATATTAGGTATATCGGTGGTTATAACTCATAATCAAGTATATTAATATTATATCAAATCAAGTATATATATCGTTGTTATATCATCATTCATATTAGGTGCATCATTCGTATATCAACACTCATAATCAAATATATCGATGTTATTGATTCCTTCAATAATATAACAAATCAGGTATATTAACATTCATATAAAGTATAAAAAACTTAAATTTACGTTAAAAAAGATGGAAGTTTCATCTCAAATATGAAAATATATAACACAATATAATTCAATAAAAGAATAAATGAACATAGTAAAGTCAGGTATATCATCGTTCATATTAGTTATATCGTTGGTATATCAACACTCATAATCATGTATATCAATGATATATCAAATCAGGTATATATATTAGGTATATCTGTTCATTGCGAATATATTGGATTTTTGCTTTAGATTGGGCCTCCAAAATTTTCTATTTTTAGAGAATTTAAACGTAGTTGCTATTTTTATAAATTTCTATTAATTTGTTTCTGCTTTTTGCAAGCACCCCTTGTATTAATTACAATGTTGAAAATATTTTTATCAATTAGATTATATAAAAGATTCATTTTCATTTATAAAATATAGTAACCTACTGGAGTTAAGTATCTAACGAAAATATCAATTAATAATATATTAAATATTTTCAATTAATTAAAGTAAATTAGTAAAATATCTTATCTTTCTTATAATTATAATTATTTATTCAATTTAAAGCATACCTCTATTACTTATAATCAATTAATTTATATTTATTTTATTCCAAAAAGAATTAATTTGTATTTAACTGTTGGAAATGAATCCCCTAAAACAAAACACAAATATCATCTATTTTATGTAGAACCAAATATAGCAAACTGTAATTCTAAAAAATATTGTTTCCAAACATTTTGTTCTCAGAGATCTATTATTTGTGGGCATACAATAAAACGACGTTGAACCAAACCGCAATATATTCTTGAATGGAAAGGAAAAGGGCAAAAGGGAAACAGATTTACAAGTAGTGATCAAGTTGAAAATGATATGCCTTTTTCTTTTTTTTCTTTTTATATAATTGATTTTCAAAATGGTAGATTAACGTGATCTATTTGAACAAAATTTATTCTTTCTTTCTTAGAAAATTTCATTTATCAAATCTTGGTTCGCAGGTATGGTATAATTATGAATTTCATTTATCTAACCTAAATTTTTAAGTTGATTGGCAATTTAACATGATACCTCTAGAATGTCTGATGCGGGATCCTCCTCTACTAGTCTTTGGTCTCCACAACTTTTCTTCAATTTCATAGTAATTTTCTCTATGGTTATACTCATGGTTCTAAATAATCCGTTGATACGTCGACATTTCCGTCGACATATCCATGTTTTTATGGGTTTGACATGGACATGAAGGGTGAATCGACATTTCTTTCATAGTACAAGAAAATCGACAAAATATGAAAAATATCTACAAAACGTCACTAATATATACATAATATTAATATGAATTATTTTTAACTAATTTAGAAATAGGAAAATGTTTATTTGTTAATTTAAATATTTTTTACAATTTTTTAATTTTTCTAACTTTTACAAAAATATCCATCGACATCGACATTTAAAACCTTGGTTATACTTATCACCGATTTGGTGATTTTTAAGTGCAGCGAAAGGGAAATTTTTGTTTGTTTTATTGATCAACAGTCTAAATAAAATTTGGGTATGGTTAGGGGTGTTCGAAAAACCCTAAACCCGACAAACCCAACCCAAATCGTAAGGGTTGGGTTAGGTTAGATGAAGCCTTGGGTTGGGTTGGATTGGGTCTCGGTTCAACCTTTAAAAAATCAGGTCAATCCAACTCAACCCGAATTATTTTTGCATATATGTATTTTTCTTAATTATATATATAATAAAACATTTATCTTCGTAGTTACCGTCCATGTAGTGGTAATCTTCGTCCTTCATTTAAGGTTTTCATGTTTTTTTTTATCTTAATCTCAACCCTCCATTAAGTTTCAATCATAACTTGATATTGGGTTGGGTTGACGATCCAATTCGAACCGGACGATTCCTCTCCAACCCGTAAACACTGCTGGATATATAGTTGCCGCATGCAAATGAAATGGAAAGTAGTGCAAACGGTTTCGAAGGGCAAGCTGAGCAGCCATGTTTTTGTGTGCAGCAGCAGACATATATATATATATATATATATATATATATATATATATATATATATATATATATTAGTGTGAAGAGTGAAGAGTGAAGAGTGAAGAGTGAAGAGTGAAGACCCGTGCGTATCGTAGCTGTAATTCAAACAAAACGGTGGAACTGGAAGCCGCCTCTGGGCTCACTGCTGGTAGCCTCTTATCAACAATGGACGCCAACGGCGCTTTCATATGGAAATAATTGAATTTTACAAGTTACAACCACCCTAATTTGAGTCGCCCAACAATTTTTTCTTTTTTTCTTTTTTTTTTTTAAGAACAACATATGTCTTGGAATTAAATTATATAATTTAATTAATTATTTGTGGGGCACCTTGGATATTACGGTTCCAAAAACTGTTATAATGTCTCAGTTGTTGATTATCCTCTTAATTTGATTTATTTATGCCCCGTTTCTTTGGGATTATTCATTTCTGCAAAATATAGCTATGTGAGTAAACATGTTAGAGAAATGAAAACGAACAAATAATTTCAATATAAATTTCATGAAAGGTAGTTTAAAGTACACTATCAGTCACCATAGGAATACATCGAAGTCCGTCAAAATCGATTTCGCCCATTTGTTTCCTAAATTTATATATACATAAATCTTCATGATCTAGAGAGAATTTGAAGTTTTGATAGAAAGGAATGGGTAGAAAAGTAATTTCAAAAAGTAATTTCAAAATGTAATTTATGTAAAAAAGACCAAAATTTCTTTAAAAAAATTTGGGAATAAAAAATTATAATTTCTTCCCTCAGTACTCTCACTAAAATATTAAGCCGTAAACACTACTTTTTCCCTATATTTCTCTCTTTTGCTGTCAACTCTTAAAATTATTTCTGAAGTATAAGATAAAATTTAGAAATTAAAAAAAAAACTAATTTTCACATTTTCGTTTTCATTTTTTAAATTTGGTTAAGAAGTATGTATTTTAAAAAATAAAAATAAAAATAAAAATAAAAACGTACTAGAGAAAGTACGAGGAAGCAAGTATAATTTTCAAAATATTTTTCAGTCCATATTTATTTTTATTAAAGTAATAATTTAGTCGTTGAACTTTAATTAAACTACTGTGACCAAATCATTATAGGATAAAAATTGATACTTAATTTTGATAATATTTTTTATAGAGACTAAATTATTACAAAAATGGTAAATTGTTACCCATTTAGAAGTAGAAATAAAAGGATTACAATACGGCCTAAATGTTTAAAAAAGTACTTATATGGAAAACGTGTTTTAAACACTCATCTTAAAAGTCATCTCTGAAACTGATAATAGTTGTGAGAATTAAGAAAGAAATGGCTGAGAATGGAGAGAGATTCATATGTAAAATTGTGCTATAAAAGGGGGTTGGTGTAGACCAAAATCTCATCCAGCAACAACCTTTGGCTAGCCAACTACCATGCCAATTGCTTTAGAAACTAGAAAACATGACAAAATTAGAAATTAGGTACACATTATCCTGTAAAAATTTACACTCACAGTATTTTGTGATGACTTCGAACTTTGACTCCCAAAAGTTTGGAAAGAATCAACACAGTGACACCATTGAATACAATTAAACTGTGATTAATCAGTGAAGTGAATGTTATTCACCCTTTGGTGGTTAACAGTAATAGCAACAAAGGGGAAGGCTGCGGAGTTGGTTCCTCATGTTTGAAGTGAAGAGAACTCAAATAGAAGGTAAATTTATGTAGTAAGAGCATCAGGGAGATTTGATCGAGCTCCGAGGACCTTACCACCGACGTCGGGGAAGGTCTCGTGTCCGTTCAACTGACCAACCTTGCCGCTTTTGCTGACCTCAATCGGGTATTTAAGGAGGTGCCCTTGCAGTGGTGCAAATTCCTCTGCTGTGTATTTCTTCCAGTTATCTTCAGCTATCTTATTGACAGTGTTCACACAATCCAAAGTTTCAGGCTCCTTGAAGCAACCATCAATTTTTCCCAAATGTTCAGCCCAGAGCGACATTCTATAGCCATAAATCTGCATAAAGATCACTTGGTTATATGACATTCCAATTCCAAGTACTCAGGGTGGTGTTTATACATTGAATTATCGAATAGAGTTGCGAGCGAACCTGGCCACGTGGATGTTGCTTCTTCTTACCCCATGTGTAACTTGGTTGATATGCACCCATGGCAATCTCAGTGTCCCTTGAACCAGCCATTGATCTTTGGTTTATATTTGCAGACCCTACTATGACATACTCATCATCAACAACCATTCCTTTGGCATGTACATATATCATGAATCTACGGAACTTTTGCGAGTCTGAAACCTGAAAATTGATAATAGACTGTTCTCAGAATATTATATCCTGTTTTCCAGTGATTGTAGAGCTAAAATTTATATTTCCCTCCAATGTAGCACCCCAATTAGATCGAAGCTACACCAATGAACCGTTTATGACACAAGCGCTGTTTTTTCTCTTTTTTTCTTGATAATTGGGAGTTGGAACTTTGCTCCCCTATAACCAAGGATACTTGCACCCACCGGATATACTTGCACCCACCCTAAGGCTGTTTTAAATATGCAACTCTACCAAAATCTAGTTAACTTGGCCAGGAATGAAAGAGTGCCTGAGTTTAAATCTTAATCTGCTCATATAAAACAATGGAAAAGCTTTAGAACACGTGATTACCACATCTTCGGTCTTGGATGAATGACCAGAGGAAGATGATAAGTCCTCGTGCGGTTCCCTATTTCCAAGACAGTAAAAGTTCAAGTAGTCCGAGGGATGAGCATTCTGGATATTCATATATTTCAACTCCCGTCCAATGATTTCATACATCATTTGTATTGTCTGGCCCTGAAAACATAAGATGGTAACTTCAAAATTAAGGAGGTCATAAATATTGTATCTACAAACAAGATTGTCATTGAAGTTTACTTGTTATACTAGTTGATGAGCAGAGGGTTCAAAAACAAGCAGGAAACTCAAGGAGGCAACCAAAAATTCTACAACAACATGAAAGTGCCCGCAATATTCACAAATCTATTCATTTCATACAAAATGGGATGACTAATTTTACAATATAATTATACAAAACAATGACAGTTGATATTATTACCTGCCAAAACAGAATTTCTTGCACAGAAACAGAAGTGGGAGCACCTTCAGGCCACATTGGTATCACAACGTATACAGCAAACCTCTCATTGGCTCTTATCTTACTAGCAATCTTCAACGCCAACTCGATTGGAATAAGATTATCGGCACCTGCAACCCAGATAGTTAAAGAACAATGGAAAAAAGAACAAAGAAGTTGGAGTCTGAAGAGTAGCATCTTGGGTAAGAAAAACAATTCAACAAACAATTACTTGCTTGAAACACCAAGTTTGCTGTTTTTCATCAACTGTTCTCTAAAATACATCGGCACATGCATACGCCAAAAAAGTTTTCTGAACGATCAAAAAAGATCTCACTCGCTTATTTTAGTGTCCAGTTAGTGTCAAAGTATCAAATGTCTAATATGTCGTTCATAGAGATGTAACCAAAACTGAAGTATATGCCTTATAGGTGGTGGCAAGATCACCTGCTTCTTTATATGAAGGCCATGCAAACGATGATCCAAGAAAATACTGATTCTCGATGTATACGAAGCGTTGGGCAGATCTAATAGCTTGGATATATGCTGTTTGAATGCTTTTGTCAATAACCAAATTTTTTGCACAAACAAGATTCTGCAAAGAGAGGATGTCACAATTAATAACCAAAAACCAAATGTATGGCACAGAAAATTTAGACATGGTTCAGCAGAAAAAGTACTCGAGCACTCTAGAATTATCAACGTGAAACATGTCTTTGTAAATTTACTTAATCAAGAAAACAGCAGACCTGCGACTCAGCTTGAAAAACATCTTTGGGAAATCCTTTTAAAGATCCCGAATCTATGGATCGGAAAACCTGTACAATTAAGATTTGTTCTCACAAGTTAGGCATTATTATTAAAATTTAGAAGTTGCATATTATCTTACTTTCAGAATTTACAATCATCAACCTGAACATGCCAATTGTGAGGATCATTTTCCTTGGAAACCCATAACAAAGGATCATCATTGGGAACCGACTGAGATGGACTAAGTATCCAAGATATGCGTTCCAACTTTATTAAAGCATCTTCATGCCAGTGCGATACTCTTTTGAACCGCTGACCTAATTCAGACCATTTTGTGGCTTTTCTCCATCGTTGTTCAAAGTTAGTAAGCACATCATATGCGGCAGGCCCTTCAATTTTGCAATGTAAATCATGCCATGGCTGCCGAGGAGCCTTTGTGCCTCCCTGCTAGATGATTTACAAGAGAAACCATTTAATTAACAGGTCTGCAGGAGCATCAATAAGTTTTTCATAGGTTACACTGTTTAGAGACAAACTATGTTCTAATTACAACAAGCACTCACAGAAAAAGTTGGATTGTGATAATCCTCCTCAAATACAGTGTCAAGATCTTTCAACAACCGATGCTCAGGAGTATCATAACGACCATCACAAAGGTCAAGTCCTCCAATAAAAGCACTGATCTTCCGGTAATTTCCAGATGCTTGCGTATCCACGATCACACATTTCTGGTGGTGGGTGAAAAGGGTTCCAACAACCTGAACCATGAGATAAACTAAAAGTTCAGAGCATTGCTCATTTTAATGTCATCATCTACAAAACCTTTCCCCCATAAAATTCTAAAAATAATGGTCAATGGAGAAGAGATTTTCAAAAATAAAATTGACAGAAGAAAATGCACCACTTGTAATGACTAAAGTTGAAAACACAATAAATTCAAGGCAGGAAATGGATAGAGAATGGAAATGACATGGGAGGAGAGGAAAAAATCAATGAAACCACAAGGTGAGGATTATCACTTCCGATTCTGGAAATTAAAATTAATCACAAACTATACTCTGAAAGAGTCAACGAAAATCCAGTAGATGCTGGAAATATCGAGTATATAAAAAAAAAATAACTCAACAACCACAACATAGATAATTATGAAATTTATTTGAGAATAAAACTTGAAATGACCATAAACTCGGTGGTAATTACTATCACTAACATCTATATATGTGAAATATTCCATTCAAATCAGATTCCCTAATTGTGACCCAAGAGTACATTAGTCAAAGCAGTAACTTAAAATAAACAATCAAAATCTGCGAAGATATCTGATGATATTTATCAGGATTCATTCTCATCATCATATATATTTTATTATCCTTCTAAATAAATCCGTTAAGATTATATTACTAAAAATTTTAATCTAAAGGGTGCAAATGGCAAGATGGAGAGTAAAATGCAACTACTGAGTCTTTTTCCTCTAGAAGTTTCATGATTTCTAAATTACACAAATCAGAGTACCATAGGGGATTAACTTTATATGATAATGATTAAATGCAGGGAAATTATGTTAAAGACCAACATGTAACTGAACCATGGTATAAAGCGTGCCTGTTGCTTAAAAATGCTAAGCTTACTGCTGGCATATCGGGGTGACAGCACACATGACACAGTAGAGTGCTTAAAAAACTTCCGGGTCTCCTCATCATGAGTCTGCATCACTCCAGCCTGAAATTAAATTAAAATCTAAAAAGAATCAGAACAAACATCTGAGAAGGCCTAAATATATATGATGAAGTTCGCTGAACAACCAAACAGGGAAATATAAGAAACTACAAGATACTGTTCACATAGTATTGTTACTGGTCCTTTACCACTAAGAAACTTCTTCATGGATCATTTTGCCTTGATTTGGAAAGAACACGGTTGCTATTCATCTTTACTTCTACATAGGAGATTCATTTTAGCTTCCATCAGCATGGGTCACAAACTTTTACTGGGATCACTGATAGTAAGGAATGTGCTAACAGAGACTTAATTCCACTGACCGCTGAAATACCAGGATTGTATGCACGACTACTAGGGACCAAAATCAGTACCGTGTACATCGTTTTTACCATCCCATAAAAAATACGAGGGAACATGACTATAACTAGAGACTTACCCATAAACTGACCAATTTGAGCAAGTCCACAGGCAAAATTCTATACAGAACACCAACCCACCTAAAATGTACAGGTCCCTCCCGCCTTCCGTTGCATTTTCAAAAACCAGGCGTGTGCATGAACGCACCCAAAGAAATTTCATAATTGCATCTCATGTTTATCCGAAATTGACATGGACCTGACACTTACTAGCCCCATACATAACAGAGAAACGAGAATGATGGCATCTCGCAAAGCAGAGTTCCTTCATTTTGTACAATGCCACCCAAAGAAAAGGCAAAAGACAAAAGGCATGGATTTAATAGAACACGCACCGTATTGATGAAGAACTTGCTGTGGGAGGTCTTGTCATCCCAAACCAACAACAAGACTCGCACCCCTTCCTGTGATTTGTACTTGAGCAATTCCCCCAAGTTCAAATCCCCACCATTAGGCAATGGCTTCGAAGGCTCCCTCACCAGCTTCACCTTATGATATATGGACCAACCGGCGATGTAGACTAAATGGTGAGCTTCCAAAATCGCATGGCATATATCCTCCCAGCAATTCCCATGATTATACATTTTCCCCTCTTCCAATTCAATCTGCTCCAACGTGGAATCAGAAACGTGAGCGTCCTGATAAAGCGTTACAGAACCCCCGTGCCGCACCGGAAAATAGCAATTCCGAACTCCGAAATGATCTGGATCGGCAGCAATGCCGTGACGGTACAGAGGATTGTCCTCGCACTTCGTGAATTTCATTTCCAAACGCACAGCCGCATCCGGTTTAGGCGGTTTCCCAAACGAACCAATAATCGGAAACCAATCATTGATTGTTTCGCCAGAAATTACTCTGCGCGCGGAGACCGTAGCGATGCCAATCAAGTCGGCGCCAAACACGTCGTTGTCCTTCACATGAAACTCAACCTGCGAGACCGGATGAGCAAGCGGGATTTTGAAGTGCTCGTTCCAGATAGGGTTCTGAGAGTTCGAAATAACCCGCGTCCGAGCGACCGTCGCTCCGGCGAGACAAACCGTGACGTAAGGATCGCTAGTAATGATTTTGCGATGGTGCTGGTGATCGGAATCCTTCTTCGAAAACGGTTTCCGACAAGAGGTAAAGGCCGTAAAAAACCGGCGAATACGCTCCGTCAACAAATCCATATTAGGCAAACGGCGCGCCTCAATGATTTTCAAATCGAGGTCGCCGTGAACGTACACCAATGGCTCCGGAGTTTCCTGGCCGTCGTTCATCATGGCGGAACGAGAAAACAGACACCAAAACCACGAAGATGAATCGGGCAAAATGGAAACGAAGAAAGCAGGCGTAATAGAGGGAGTTAATGAAATTAGTAAATTCAAAATGGAGAGCGCAACACAAGGAATATTGAGAACGCGAGCCGTTGGCTAACACCGGAGGAACACGACGGCGCGACGCGAATAGAGGCGGCGGCGGCGGCGGCGACGGTTCACATCTAGAGGAGCATGGTGCTTTCTTCCCGGTGGTCCCCGACGCAGCCAACGGCGAGGGGCGGGGCGGAGCGGAGGGAGGATAACGAGGAAAATAATAGAAAAAGGGAATTGCGGAAAGGTGAAAACCGAGAAGTTTGGGGCAGGACTTTTACATGCTATTTAAAGATTGGACACGTGGCCAAATCCTATCCAAATTCAACTGCCTGCATTTTTCTTCATTGTATTGGTCACGTATGTTTATGTATTTTAATATAATATATTAGGGTAGGGATTCAGCTATCAAGTTCACCATCACATATATATTTCTTTCTTATTTCTTATGGTATCTTTTTCTTCTTAATTTTTCCTTTTTACTATGCTTTGACCAATGTATTTCAAATATACACAAATTTCTTGCATCAATATTGCTTGATTGGGTGCAAAAAGAAAATACTCATTTAGGTAGATGTTTTTATTGCAGGTGGAGGATGGGACTATAGTAACACTGGGTCTTATTTATTTAGTTAGATTTATAACTATATTAAAATATATATTTATGTATTCTCAATTTTTAAATAATTTATATATATAGGCAGTTAAGAGAAAACGTGTGAGCACGTGCGATCTGGAATGGACAGACACACGCATTCAATTTCAAATAAGTCGTTAAACAATGAAGAATGTTGTGGATTTCAAATATTAACTTCAGCCCATATCACACATTTCATTAATTATTTTGACCCTTTTTCATAACAACGATAGATTCTCAAGATTTTTTATTCATTTATTGGTTATTAATATTATATATTCTAATAATACTTAGATAAAAAAAAATGTCTTTTTCTAAAGTAATTTTGATAATTTTTTAAAGTGTTTTCGAGAATTTAATAACACTTTTGTCATATACAGAAAACTTTTATTGGACATTGTTTTCCCTTCTAAAAAAATTATAAATAACGATTAAAGCTTATATGCTATTTACAAAAGCAGCTGAGGAAAAAAAAAAAAAACTATTCTTGGGAACTATCAAATAATCCCTCATTTTTCCTATTTTTGAATATTTAACAACAAAAATGTAAGCAGTGGAAGCAGAAGAAGAACTAGACTTCCACACGGCTTCTGCTACTGCTGGCTTCGAAAGGAGACACCCTTATCATCATACTCTGAACAAATGCTATCATCTGACACAAAATAAAAGATGCCCATCAAGGAAGAAACAGTTCAAAACACAACTATTATGGCCATATAATAAATCATACATTCATGATTAAATTTGTATTTTAGCCCTATAATTTGGGATTTACATTTACATACTATGATCTTAAATGTTACATTATAGTTTTTATAATTTGATTAAATATACCATATGCCAGTAGCTGCTTACATGAGATGTTTCCTCTCTAGATGTGATACATACAAGTGACAGAATATACACGAAGATAAATTGACCAACTCTATTGAAGTTTGAGTTTGGTAAAAAATTGAATAACAATGAATTTTCAAGTAAAGATAAGTGTTTAATACTTTTTTGATCCATATACTTCTAAATTTTATTTATTTTGGTTCCTATGCATTCAAAATAACATTTATGACATTTTGAAATATGTACTTTCAATTTTTATCCATGATAATTCCTATACTTTCAAACGCCCATTTCTATCTTCTATCTTGTATTTTTACAAAGTATCTTATCCCTAGACCTTTTTATTTCATTTAATTTCACCACGACACTACATTCAATAAATTTCTTAAAATATAGCAATAATCGAATGACTTGTGTATAAATTTTGTGTTAAAATTTTTCAAACAAGGACCAAAATTGCATTTTTTTTTAAATTACTGACCAAAATAGATGTTTCTGTAAATATAGGGACTAAAGTGACCGAAAGCTGAAAGTACCGGAACGGAACACCAAATTGGACATTTTAAAAGTACATGGAGCAAAATAAATAAACTTTTATGACCCTAACTTCTTTATAAAAAATTTTTAAGTCTATGACCAACTAAGAAGGGATAGATCCATCAAGCAAAACAGGCTTAGACATGGGATGATGGATGGAAGTATGATTCTTACCGCAGCAGATCCAGCGCACATGATGCTAAATCCAGGGAAATAAAATGGAGCATTTTCAGAGAGGAACAAAGCTGAAAAATACCAACACTCTGTTATCTGAGACCACTGCATTATTGTACTACATATAGGAAATTAGGAATTTAAGAAAGTTACCTGTTAAAGGGGAGAATGCCAATGGAGAAACAACATTGGCAAAGGAAGATATGCCTGAAATGCATCCTTGAGCCTTACCCTGAATAATCAAATCAAATCTACCAATATTATTATGCTACCAACAAAAACCAATCCAGAACCATTATGGAATTCTTAAAAAAAAAAAAAAAAAAAAGACTATACTTCCTATGCATTATTAATCTAGTTTCTTATCTTGATTTTGTAAATTGATTTGATTAAATTGGTATATTTATAGCGGATGATTTTCAAGGGGAAAAAACTTCCCTCGTGAAGATTCAGGAGGAAGCTCCTCCTGAATTTCTATGTGGTCCAGTAGCGTATAGATAGGTGGATCACATAGGAATTATACAAAATTAAAAAATCCACTTGTTCATATGCTACTGGACCACGACCACGCATGAATCCAGGATGAGCTTCCTCCTTAATCTTCAGGATGGAAGTTTTGTCCTTTTCGAGACTGTCCCGTGGTTTTTCTCCTTCCGGTTTTCACGTAGATCTTGGTGTCTCTATTTTATATTGTGTACTTGTGATTTTAACTGTCGACTACACGTTAAAAAAACCCAACATGCTGCCATGGACTTCACTCAATCCAAAAACACAGTTGCATTAAAGATGCAGCATTTTTCTATGAGATAAAGATAATTGCCAACATTAATAAACTAGTGAACAGCTTTTCTCATCATTAAAAATAAGAATAAATTAAAATAAATAAATAAAGCTAACTAATAAACTGATCACTATTGACTATGTTGAAGCTGTTCATCAAAACTAACCTGCTCACTCACACCGACTTGTTTCGACACAATGCTTCGCAACTGTCGATTACAGATATGAAATAAATCAAGTTCAATCAAAATTATTGATCGAGAACAATAAGCTCTAGAGGATAAGGAAGTCTGACACTCACGCAAGGCTGCGAGAAAATAAACAAAATGGAAAACATTGCAGCAACATAGGTAACCTGATTAATTATGGTAAAGTGAGTCATTTCATGACGTTAAACAATTTAAGAAGAAGAGTTGAAATTTTAATTCAATACTGCAATATATAAGGAATCAAATTTATTAAAAAGGATTAAACTGCATTGCGAAATAAGTTGAAAATAAGTACCCGCTCAGCCCAAGCAAAGCTGTAAAGAAGCATCTGCATTCAAAGCCAATAAGACAAATTTAAATATCCATGAACTAGGTAATGTTCAAATTTCTTAACATACACTTTGGGTGATTAGAATAATGTCCACAACGCATTAATAATGTGTTTGAGATTACGAAAAGTATTTTTAAATGAAACGCTTCTTCCATGTACAGTTTTGGAGGAATGTGAATTTACATGAATGCAGTTGAAAAAGAGCCCAACAGAGAGCAGTCTCTCCTCTCCTAGAGCAGGAACCAAGATGGGCATCAAAAGTAGCTGAAGTTATTCATTTAATGGTCAGAACACACTAAAAAAAATGGACGGTCAAATCACTACTAAATCTAAAAATTTTAAGATTAAGCCCAGAAGTTATGGTACTATTTTTAGTATATTCTTAACCAATAACACAGGAAATTAACATAAAAAGAAATGAAGATGCAAACCCAAAATGGAACATAGCATGACATGCCTGTGAAATAGTTGAAGCAGACCCAGAGATCACCATCAAATCAGCAAACTTATCCTTGTTAAAGTGAAATCTGGCTTTTAAATAGTACTGCAATTGGGAAGCCAAACATAGGTCAACATATCAAGTGTCAAAGACAAGCTGTTCAATTGAAATTCAGAAGACACACTAAAGAGTCTGTTACAGTTGTAAAATCTATAATTGAGCCAAAAAGAAGTTCACAACTTGAGCAAGACGAGGATAATCGCCAACACAACAACTAAAGCTTTCTCCTTGATAGTGGACCAAAAAGTTGAATGAAATTATAATTAAAGGTTTTCCCAGGAAAATGGAAGTGAACTTCAGCTGTTGATAAAAGCAATTGACAAAAACTGATCCAAATTAGATCCCTTGGATCAAAAGACTAACCATCATCGAAGCATGAAGGCCAACATCAGCGAGATTGCTGAAAAATGCAACAATGGCCGCTTGTGAAAATGTCAAGCTGCAAATAAAGTAGAAAGAAAAGAGCATTGAAAATTTAAGAATAAACCCAACACTTCCCCCGCAAACCCAGCAAACTATATGGTCCAAACTCCACGACTCCAAAAACAAGCATGATTTCATTCAGATGCGAGAGTATAACTTAAAACTTTAAACTTCCATATATTTTATTAGAGTGCGACTCTCGCTCCAAGTGTCACAAGTTCATAAATGAAAGGACCAAATTACTATCTATAATTGGCTCGATTACTAAATAAAAACAGCTCTTGATCCTGCCCTAATTCAATAAAAATCTAGAAGGCAGAAGAAAAATTGCAAAAGAATTGATGACAGAGATGGAGAAAATTGAACACACACACACACACCTAGTCTTCAACAGGGCAAAAAGGTCCAGCACTGAGGGCAAGGTGGTGAGTAGTTCTTCTTTTTCGGGCGAAACTCGATCGGAAGAAACAGTTTCAATATTCTCCTTGGAAAGTAAGGGAGGAGAAAGATTGCAATCGGCGACGGAATCCGTAAGGAAAACCCTCATATATACTGCCGCCGCAGCCGCCGTGGAAGCCGCTACCTAATCGGCGCTGATAGTGATTAGATAAGAACAGAAATTTAGGAGAAAGGAAGCAGTTATCGGAATACCTGAAAAGTGGATGGAATGGAGAGAAAACGAGCACAGAGAGTCCCGCAGACGAAAGCGGAAGATCCAATCGCCGATAGAATTCCAAAGGCAGAAGCTCGCTGCCGTTCCGGTACATTGTCGGCCTGGAATACAGCCGAAGAAATGAGTGAATGGCCATGGCGTCGGAGAAGAAGGCTACAGTGTTACTGTTAGCGTTCTTTCGGAATTTTAGATATATAAGAATTTTGCGCGCACACGTGGAATTTCTGCCAAAGGCAACTGCTGAAGGAAGAAAGGCACTGACGTGGATAGAGCCACCGGATGTACACGTGGAATTTCTTTTGAAAAGTTTTAGTTTCCATATTTTAATGATTAAAAAACACATTTTCCCTTTTAACCTTTAAACTTTAATTTAAAATAATTCTATTTTATAACTCCCAAGTTTATCGATCTAGATAAATAAGGGTTTTGCATGCACTATCCAACTACATTTGGTTATCAAGGTAACTCGTACAATATTAAATCTTAGGTAGGTGGTATTTATTCTCTCTAAGTCTTTTATGCCATTTACATTTGTCTTTATTGACCACTAAGTCACACTATGATGGTTTATTTTGATCCCATATTTACAAAATTCTAAACCGAATAAAAACCTTTTAATTAATATACAACAATATTTTGTAAGCAGGGTATTATTTTGAAATTTGTGATTAAAAAAATAAATGAGATTCGACCTGCTGAAAAGAAAGAAGAGGAGGATGACACACAATGACGAAAACAATTACTTCATAAAATATAATAACCAAAATACATAAAACCTGAAAATATGAGCAAAAGCTAAAATTATATATAGACTGAACCAAAGTTATTGGACTTGAACCAATTTAACAAATGAGGGATTTTTGTTTTGTTAAGTATAGAGTGGAGATTTGAATTTAGCCAATAAATATGTTGACAAAAAAAAAAAAAAGAAAGAAATCTTACAGCATAAGCTAGAGCCAAGCAATTAACGGTTCCTTCACACAAGATGCTAGTTAGAGTCTTGAACACAAAATAAACATAGAAATACCGTCTGGATCTCCCATACCCCAATATCCCTGCCAATGCCATAAATACAAAATTAAAATTAATTCATCATCATAATCTTCACACACATACTGAAATTACTTGAAATTTAATCAAGCAGCACCAACCCAGGGGAATTACGGTGAGAATCATGGGAATTGTGAGTACACCCTTCCTCCCCAGCTTGTCCGACAGATTTCCGATCAACGGCATCGTCACCAACGTCCCCATCCCCGTCACCTGTCCATCGCAATATCTTATAAATCTTGTTAGATCTCTTGATCGTTTCAACGTCAGTACAATATTAGATGATGAAAGTTGGAAGTTACGTACGGCTTGGTGAACCCCGGTGAAGTAAATGGCGACGGAGCACTCGTCTTCGCCGGGACACAGGGCCGACATCGTGACATCGGTGATGGCTGGAACCACCATCATTGTAGCAAAGGTGTGAAGAAATACAGTCATCAACAGATGCCTCACCCTCCAAATCCCTTCTGTTTCCATCTCTCGGATCAAATCCAAAAACCACACTTCCCGGAATCTAATATATATATATATAACCCTTAATATAAATGCTTGCCTATTACGTAAACCCACCACATTTAATTTCTATTTAATATTGAAAAGAAAGAGAAAAAAGAAGAAAAGGACCAATACTTAGCTTACACACTTTTGAGAAATCATTTGATGAGTTTTGGAGGTGTGAAACTGAATTTTAATTTTGCATTTCAAACTTTGTATTACAACTCTGCAATTTTGAACATGAGTAGCCATTTGAATAATATTTTTAGTAATTGGCTAGCTCCTATTAACTTTATTTTTAGCAGGGTTTAGAGTGTGAAATTACTCTTTTATTAAATGTGATAGAAATAGATCTCTAAAATATAACATGAAATTTAACTAGGGGCTCCAAATCTATGGTTTGGTAGAGACCAAAACTTTCCTAATTAAATAGCAAAATTTTAGGATCCATTTGGTAACGTTCAAGTTTTTTTATCTTGTTTCTTTACTTTTAATGAAGAAAAATGTATTGCATGGTTCCAACGTCAAAGAATTCAAACTATGATAAAACAATCTTTTTATTTATGTTTTAGAACAAATTGGAAACGATAACAAGAAAGAAAAAACTTGTTTTGGTTGTTCCCAAATTGCGAGAATGTTCCCGAAAAAGGAGAAACAAGAAACAAAGTTAGTGGTAAAATGATTAGATTTCTTAATAAAATTGGTAACGAGAAACAAGAGATAGGAATGTTACCACACGAGCCCTTATTGTTTCCAGTTCTACCTACCATTGAGATTTTTTCGGATAGGGAGAGAGGAAGAGAAAATAAATTTATTTAAAAAAAAAATAAACACTTGTCATGCAAGTTTTATCCAAAGTAAACATTTTCTCTTTTCCTTTGAAAATTTAAATTTTATTTTGGTATAGCTCAATGCATATAATTTTATTTTTTTTTTAATCACTCTCATATTTGTTGAACTAAAAAGAAAAAGAAGAGTTTCAATATTATTAGCATTTACCATATGAATTCAATTTTCCTTGTAAATATCATCTATTTATTACCATTACTTAGAATATTTTGTTTTTGAAAAATGTGAAGGAGGGTTTGTTTTAAGTAAATTGTCTTTTCATGATACCTTTTTTTTTCCCCTTCCTTGTTTCTTATACCTTTTGATTAACGTCTCATCTTCCTATTTTTCATCCTTTGTAATTTTTTGTCTTTTCAGACCCTCTTTTCCCATTTTCTATATGGAACGGCCAATACCATTTTTTTGGAAAACATTCTCATCTTGCGCCCAACCGCCACACAAACTGCAAAATTCATGTCTTAAAATTCTCCTATTCTACATATATTATATTAAAAGAAATAGAAAAAAAAGCCAAATGAACCAATATTTAATTATCAACTCACAATTTATTTTGCTCCTCTTACTTTAAAGAATATAAATTTAATAATTGGAAGATCCTACTTCAAATTTAGGAATCACTTAAAAGTAATCTCATTTTTCTTCTAAATCCTTTCACACCTTCTCAGATATGAAATTCATTATTTTTTAATTAATTAGTTACTAACAATATAACAGTAATAAATTAAGTTAAAGTTATTGTTTTAAGTAAGAATATCAGTACACTTTTTAGTTAATGTATATGTAATTAGCTAGAAATAAAGGGGTATTCTAGTAATTGTAATATATCTTATTTTTATTCCAATTTCACATAATTTTAGTAGACAATTTGGATAGATTTCTAAATCTAAATCTAGAAAATTTCAGTAAACAACATAAAAAAAATTAACTTTTTCATTCCAATTGATTTTATTTCAATTCCTTGTAAGTAAACGAGACATTAATTATGAATGTTTTAATATTTTTGGAAACAAGCAATTAGTCTTCACACAAACTAAGTGATTGAGATAGTTAATATACGTTGTAGCATAGTTTGCATACATAAGACATCTATTACCATTCCAAAGGTTGAAAATGTTCCATCTCCACCAAATAAAAACTCAAAAAAAAAAAAAAAAGATGGCTAACATGCTAGTTTATGTAAATTCATTAATATTCGTTGAGTTGTTAAGATTGGGTTAACYAGTTATATTCAATTTTTAATTGGTATTTCATTATTAATTAGTTATTTGYCTATTGTTTTAAGACAATAACAACCACTTTTACTACTACTAGCTATTTTTCATGGTGATGGTGAGGAAACAATGATCAGCGTGAAGAATTAAAAGACAATTCATTTTTTTTTTTAGAAAATGTCGTCATGTGATAAATTGAAGATATTTTTTAAAGAGAAATTGAGGTTATATTTTCAGTGAAATAATTAAATAAAGATTGTAATATTTGTCTCAGTCGACATTTGTCAACAAATCATTGGTACAGGTGAGGCAGCTAAGTATTATTTTTTTTAAGTTTATATTGTTCCCACTCTAAATCCTTTTTTTTCCTTCCAAGTACATAGGGAAAGATTTTCGAATTTATGACCTATTGGTTAGAGACTGATACTAATTATGAATTCAAACTTTTAAAAGGTCTATTTTAATCAAAATTTTAAAAGTATAATCATTTTAATCATTGACAATATTTTCTCATCGTGTGGCCGCTTGTATATTAACATGATGATGTAGATATGTGTAGACGTCAAATCGGTTAGCTAATAGGAAAATGGACAATGCCCATGGGTGACAATATTGATCATAGAACGACGATCAAGACCAAAGTAGTAGTCCTTTAAAAGTTCGTAAGCTAAATATAGATCTTTTAAAAGTTTAGAAAATCAAAATAGACTAAACAAAGTTTCAAGGTACGATTGACATAAGATTCTAGATAATGGAGGTGATAGGTTAGCTTTAGATTAGAGGTGGAATAATGTCCAATTAGTTGAGATGATCATGACTTGCACACAAAACCATATATCGATATGATATACGATCCTGTACATTTCGAAATTGAAGTTAGTATTTAGTCCGAGCTGAAGTTGAGTAGAACTTTTAGTTAGTCGTGGATCTATTTATTATTCCTGTCTATTTTTGTGTAAAATCATTACTAGTCTATTAATATGATGGACACGATTCTTTTTCTTTTTTTTTTTTAAATTGAAATCTTAAATTTTATTTCTTAATTAGTGTAACATTGCAAATATAAGCGGTGGATTCCAACCACAAAAAGTTATTAATGTCTAATAAGTGAGTTTTATATTCAAATTCTATATTTCTTTGGTTTTATTAGAGCATGAAATTTAATGAACTTAGCTAACTTAAAGTATTTTAACAAATGCATTCCAAAATTTATGATTTAATGTTGGATAAGTCTCTTATTAACAAAAATATACATTAAAAAAAAAAAACTCAAAGTCCATTAATTAAGTTGCTTCTTTCTAAGTCCTACATGCTGCTGTCTTTGAAGTTTGAACTACCAATAAAGGTAAAGAAAAAGAGGAAATATTGAAGGAAGCGTGGCTTGTAAGTTGAGGCCCTTTTTTGTTTGAGGGTTGTAGGATTCTTCAAGGAAACGTGCAAGTTTTGTTTTGTAATTATGCAATGTGTGCTTTCTTTAATTTTGTCCCCTTTGCTTACATTACAGTTTATAAAAATTCAAGTGTGAAAAAGTGTTTTTACCTTTTTTCAAATTTTTTTCTAGTGTTTGTTTACCTAGTAAAATATTGGTTTCAATTGGTTTCTAGGGTTTTGAAAGTTGTTAATTAGTCCTTACAGATTTAAACTTAGTTTCAATTAGGTTGTTGTGATTTCGTGAAGTTTCAATTTGATCCCTATAATTTAGTCCAATACTCATAAATTTGATAGTCAGAAGATAACAAACCAATAAACACTATTCGTATAAGAAATTGAAATTTCAAATTTCAATCACGGTTATGGTCTATTAAGAAACCATAGAATGGATGTCGCCTGAGGTGGGAGGTGTATCATTTTTCTGTTAAATTGATTAGTTGAGGGATTTAAAGAAAAAAAAAGTGCATTCTCGAGGGACCAAATAAAAATAAAATTCAAAACTCAAAGATCAAATATGTATTTTTCTTCCATTTTTTAACGGAACAATAAGCTTATATTTCTTAGTCGATATTATTTTGAGTTTTAGGTTGAATAAAAAAAATAAGCAGAAATATGCGAATTTTTTTTGTTTGTAAAAGATAATGGTCTATCTAGCATTTTTTAAAGTTAACAAAATCCTATTAACACCAAATTGAAACGATTAAAACTATAGAGAATTAAATTATGACTAAACTAAACCTTTTCAAATGATAGGGATCAAATTAAAATTAAACAATTTATAAATTAACCTAAAAAATTCTTCAAAAAATTCAAAAAGACCTAAAATTTTACTCTCAAAATTAATCATTTGAAACTAAAATATGATCCGTAAGGTTGGTTTATTGCATAACTTTCAAGAATAAAGTTCACCCTAAGCTCATTGAATTAGGTCAGTGTCGTTAGTTACAAGTTGAAAAATTATTTGATATATCGATACAGTTTTTTTATTTTCTTTTTTTGACAATGAAATATTCTCTCTTTTTTCTTTTAAGAGAAAATATATAACAATGAAATGGTTGAGATCAAGCATGTAATAGAATATAGCTTAAAAAGTATTTTCCTTCTTTAATTTTTAGAGCAATTATGAGGCTGTTTGATATTTCTATTCGTTTCTTATTTTTTTTAATAAACAAAATAGAATTGCATTTTGTGACTTTTTTTTATTAGAAAAATAAATAGAGACATGTTTGTTAACTATTACTTATTTCTTGTTCACTAAAATTTTAAATTAAATAAAGTAATTTTTGAAGAAATTTATTTTTCTTTTAATTAAATTTTCAATTATTTATGTTATATTTACTTTTTAATATTTATTATGTATTTTATAAATCAAGAATAATAAAATAATACTCCTATTTACGTTTTAGAAAAAATGGAAAACAATAAAAAAAAGCAAAATTTAATTTTGTTGTTTCTAAAATTTCTACACAATTTTAGAAAAGTTTCTAAAAAATAAAAGGAGTAAAAATGTGTTTAATAATAGAAACATATGACTAAGAATATATATATATATATGTGTGTGTGTGTGTGTGTGTGTTTTGCAATCTTTTCGCTCCTTTTTCATTCTCTAGTCGACTTGTTTTAAATTTAGTATCAAACTGACAAAAATATCATAACCTGAGGAATAAATAGCCAATATTTTCCCATTTCCTTAAAAAGAAAAGAGAGCTAATATTTTATTTCATAGTTTTCTAATCTATTCTTTGCCTCGGGGTGAGTTTGAGTTTGACTTACCTTCTAATGTTTTCTTAAAACACTTTATATAAAAGGAAAAGTTTTAATAAAAATATTTGTGTATTTGGCCTTCAAAGTAACTTTAATCACGAGTTTATTTAATTGCACCAGTGATTCTTCAAATGTCAAATTATCCTAAAGTGATTCTAAAAGTATTTTCTAGTTAATCATTTTTTCGAGAATCAAGTAAAAGTTTTCCTTTTTAAAACGATTTTAAAGATTATTTCAAAAGTGATTTTTATTGGTAACCAAACATTCTAGATTTTCTTACAACTACATTTTTGACCCTCCAAAATAACCTACAAAGTCATGTCAAACAAACTCTCCTGATATAATAAATACTAGAAAATGTTTAGAAATCCATGATTTGGAATAATTAGATTACTTTCTCTATATTTTATTTTCTCCAAATAAATTTAATAATTTAGAATCAATATTTTTTTCCAAATTCCAAGCTCATATATATTATAGCAACCCAGAGTGAAGTAGAAACCTAGCTAGGTCTCACACATCCTCAAGTTAGTGAAGAACTTTCATGAGCTAGTGTTCGTACACATTAATCGCAATATAAATATCTTTTCAGATCGATGTTTTTCCTTGGTAGCTCACCCAATAAAAACTTATGGAAGCTAATTTTTTAGTATACCCCAAGAGGTTTCTAATTATCAATTAAAAGATTATGATTATTTATCGCATGAAATAATATATTTATCTTTTTAGTCTAATTTTGCATTTTAATTGCCTTTTTAGATTTTTTACTATTTTAAAATTATTATTTTGAAAAACTAATCCGGCAAACACATATTCATAGAATATAAAACAATAAACATAATTCATTACTTGATTGTCGCTTACAAATTGTTATAGTGCGACAAATTGTAAGCCCAACAGGTCCTACAAACAATACTCATCCGTCAGTTCCGTAAAGAAAGATATTACCCAAAAAAAATCCACTTTTCTGGAGAAACCACAGCCACAAGCAAAATGTGTGGTCTCTGCACTAAGATTTCATTTTGATAATTCCACTTCTTCCCCAATCCACAACCATTCTCTCTGAGCTGAACAGAGAAGTTGTTCTCCAATGGCTTCCTACTCCCGCTCCCTCACCACACCCCCTTCCTCTCTCTACACAACCACCCGCCCAATCCTCAACCCCGTCACCATTAATCTCAAACTCA